CAAAACCAGTTGGGAGGAAAGGGTTTATTTTGCTTACACTTCCAGGTAACAGTCCATCAGTGAAGGAAGTCAGGACAGGAACCCTGGAGGCAGGAGCTGATGCAGACACCATGGAGGAGTGCTGCTTACTGGCTTGCTCCTCATGGCTTGCTCAGCTTGCTTTATTATAGCATCCAGGACCGCAAGCCCAGAAGTGTCTCCACCTCCCATGGGCTGGGCCTAGTCCCATCATTCACTAATTTAGAAAATGTTCTACAGGCTTGCTGTTATATCTTATAGAGTTATTTTCTCAGTTGAGGTTCCCCCTTCTCAGATGACCCAAGCTTGGTGTCAGGGTGACATAAAACTGCCCAGCACAGCTGGAGCAATGGCTCACCAGGGTAAGAGCGTGCACTGTTCTTGCGGAGAACCCAAGTTGTCCCCAGCACCCAAGTCTAGCAGCTCATAACCAACTGCCTGGAAGTCCAGGTCTAGGGGGACACAGTGCCTCTGGCCTTGTAGGCATCTGCTGCCATGTCCATATACCCACCTATACACATAATTAAAAAAATAATCATAATTACTGTAACTTCAGGTCTAGGGGGACACAATGCCTCTGGCCTTGTAGGCACCTGCTGTCATGTCCACACATCCACCTATACACATAATTAAATAAAATAATCATAATTACTATAACTTCAGGTCTAGGGGGACACAGTGCCTCTGGCCTTGTAGGCATCTGCTGTCATGTCCATATACCCACCTATACACATAATTAAAAATAATAATAATTAGTCTTAAAAAAATGTCCTGGCCAGGTGTAGTGGTTAATGCCTTTAATCTTAGCACTGCAGAGGCAGAGGCAGAGGCAGGTGGATCTCTGTGAGTTCAAGGTTAGTTTGGTTTACAGCCAGAGCTACATAGTGAGACCTATCTCAAAACCAAAACAAAACAAAGAAAAAACACCAAACCAAACCAAACCAAACCAAACTAAACAACTCCAGGTAAGTGGAATAAAGAAAAGCAGATTGTCCCCAGACCTGGCATATTTGCTTCTTGGGCTCCGTCTTTCATAAAACATACTAAAAGTTGTATCAGGATGGTGTGGACCTTGGTGTGGTGCGGTGTGTCTGTAGTCCTGATACTTTGTGGGCACAGTTAGGATTGGTGGGGCTTGCTGGCCAGCCAGTGTTGTTGAGTTGGTGAACTCCAG